TGAACTTTACAATTGATATAATATCTTTGTTATTCTTGTACTTTTGGCTTTCTTTTTCTTTTATTTCTTTTTTTTTTTTTTTTACAAAATGCGTTGGCCATGCAAATATTGTAATCGAGAATTTACAAAATCTTATGCTTTAACGCAACATATTTCGCAAAGACATCTATATATTCAAGATTCCACAAATCAAATAGTCAATAGTGAAGAACCGAATGATGATATTTAGAATCTTCCAGAATATGACTCAAATTATGATTATTCAACAGAATATAAGGTATATGATTATAATTATGTAATTATTATTATTGTTTTACTGTATTATCTCGAAATAATGCTCGGGTGTAGTTTAAAATTTTAGCTTGAATTAAGCTTAATTCGGGCAAAAATTTTAAACTACACCTGGGTGTTATTGTGAGATAATACGTTATTTATTGTTATAAATCATTTATATTTCATTTAGAGCAAAAATATGTCAATATCACCTCAATCTAAATTAAGTTCAGATGTTTATTCTTTTATGGAAACTGAATCTTTTCAAATGGATGATATGCCTTTGTTGGCAGAAGATGAAGCACTTCAAAATAAGTCAGATGAAAGTAGTGTTTCTGAAGATTGTGAAGAGATAGTATTTGATATTATTAGCGAGTTGCAAAGTCCAAAAACTGTGTCTGATGAGGTGATTCTGAAGACTATGAAGGGGCTTTGTTTGATGACACTTATTATGACTTGCATTATTCACAAAGTGTTGAATGGCCTAATGATGCCTATCGAGAGTTTATGGAGTTAATTAATAAGCATCATCTATCAAATTCGGCTAGTGATGCTTTTATAAATCTCTTCAACAAATTCTTCAATTTGGATATTTTGCCACTTCCATAATCAACTAAAGCCAGAAAGGAATTTCTTGATAATTTTGTTGTTCCCTATATGATATTTAAAGAAATTCCTGTTGTAATGTTTCAAAATATTAGGTATCCATTTTTCTATCGATCATTAATAAAGACTATCAAGTCTTTATTAATGATCGATAGTATTAATTAGTCACTAGTTCTTTAATATGAAGATAAAAAGGAAGTAAGAGAAACCAATGAATATCAAATTTTTGAAGAGCAGTACAATTGTAATTGGTGAAAGTAAGAAGAGTTAGCATTACTTCCAGGGCAACGTTTACTATTGCTTATCATTTATTCAGATGCGACAACCCTAGATTATATAGGAAAATCTTCAGAGTATCCTATATTTTTATCACTTGGCAATATCCCAAACTATCAGAGAAATAAACCAGAATCCAAGGCATTAATCGGATATTTTTCAATCTTGAAAGCCAAGGATTCTAAAACAAAAAATTCTGATAGCTTTCAGAAATTACAAAGGGAAGTCTTCTATAAATGTATATCGATCCTTCTTAAGCTCATCATTGAAGAACCAGAGCTTCATTTTGTTATACGTAGAAGAATTATTACCTTCATCCTACAAATATTAACCATTATTGTTAACATGCTTGAAGCTAATAAGTTTGCAAACATGTACCAACCAGCTTCTTCTGCTAAACCTTGTGCAAAATGCTTAGTATCAAGGGATAACTTAAATAATACTAATTTAACAAGTATAATTTTAAGAACTCCAAATATTATGAAGCAAGCGATAAATAGTGGTAATGATCTCAGTTATTTAATTCATCCTGAAACAAATGCATTTTGGAGTTTAAAGTATAAAAATTAAATGTATTATTTTTAATTACTATCAATTATCGAATTAACAAACATGAGTATTATTTCAAATTTTAACCCAAATTAAGCTTAATTAGGGTTAAAATTCAAAATAACACCCATGTTCGTTAATTCGATAATTTATATTAGTAAAAATGTATTTTATAGCTAATAAAAATTACAGTAACTTCAATATATATGAAGCTGTTGTACCTGATCGAATGCACACTTTGGA